AGCATGGTGGCACATGCCTTTAATCCTAGCACTTGGGAGACAGAGGCAGGTGGATCTCTGTGAAATTGAGGTCAATCTGGTCTACATAGGGAGCTCCAGGCCAACTGTGGCTACAGGGAGACCCTTGCCTCAACAAAACAAGACAAAACAAAACAAAAAAGGGCAAACATGTAATCTAAATAAAACTTATTAATGAACATTTAACCTTTTCAAATTGAAACATTTTATTCATATCAAGTCCTGTTTCTTTTTTCAGTCTCATGTAATCCAGGCTGGCCTTGAACTCTTGATCCTCCCTGCATTCGCCTCCCTTACAGGTGTGTAGCACCACGCCATACTCATACCAGTTCTTTAAAACACTTTATAGCACACTTCAAATGATAATATTACTGGGAAATATTTCATCTGTATTAACATTTAATAAAATTTACAGATCTACATATCCAATTTGGGTCAAATACTTAAAATTGTCCAAAAGCTGACTTAAATTTTAATTTAAGCTAAATAATAAAATGTAGCTTGAAACTACAATCCATTTTTAGGATGAAAAGTATGTTCTATAGGTTATTACTAGTAATCTTTTGGTTACTATAGGCTGTATTTAAAACAAAAATTAAGTCATGTGACTAACTGAAAAAGTATGCCTCTTTAAATGCCACCAATTTGAAAGCCATAGCTAATACCTGAAGATAAAGATCAGGATTTCCACAGGATGAAACAGCAACATGAAATTTAATATAGGAATTCATTTGGTCTGGCTTAAGCACTAACTATGGGAAATAATGGTTCATAAGACAAGAGATTTTAATTGAATAATTAGGATGCAATAATTTAAAAATATTTGGCCTCAAATTGCAATAACAGGAACATATAATTTATGCCAACTACAACAGTAGTCCCATTGCTCACATACAGTAATACTCAACAGTAGTTATGTTCAAAATTATGATAAACGGGAAAAAATACATATACAGATGCAATAGGAACACGTTAAATCCCCCCCGGACGACATTTAAAAATCCTTCCTGTCTGGCATGGCGGTGCATTTAGGAGGCAGAGATAAATGGATCTCTGTGAGATCAAGGCCAGTTTCACCGTAAATTCCAGGCCAGCTGAGGATACAAGTAGGCCCTGTCTCAATCCCCAAGCCTCCAACGCCCCAATTTGTCCTAACACAATTTTTTATCTCCGTTTAAGAGATGGTGCCTCAGGTTTCCCAGGCTGATACTGAACTATGTAATCCTGAACTTCTGATATTTTGGCCTCTACCTTCCCAGTGCTGGGATTACAGAGTATACCATCATGTCCAGTTTATGCATTATTAGGTCTTGACCCACAGTTTCCTGCATGCTAAAAAAAACACTCTACTGTCAGGGCACATCTTCAGTCCCAGCATTTGGGTGGCAGAGGGAGAAACAGGATGATCCCTAGCCTACACAGCAAGATCCAGGCCAGCTGGGGCTACAAGGGAGACCCTGCCTCAAAAGACTAAACCAAAACAGCACTCTACCAACTGCTTTAAATCCCAAACCCCACAGGAAAAAAAAAATTCAATCGCTTTACTAATTTTTTGAATGTTACAAACTTTTACAATGTTGGGGAAGTCAGACCACTATAGCCACACACCACAACTCACCAATGCACATACCTATATAGGTAGCAGTATACTTTTAAAATTATACGATTGTATTTCAGATAGTATTTCAAACACCTGATCTTAATGCTTTATAGTAACAGACATGCCTGGTCATTACATTTTGGAATATATAATTTATTTTGTTTATTTCTCCTTTGTATTGATTAGAAATGATTTATTAAATTGTGCTACATGCTGGTTATTTTGATATAAATTCATCTCAATACAGCAAAGCAGACACTATAAAGTGTTAAAATTCAGTATCTCAATCAACAAAACACAAATTACTGGTTTTATAGAAAGTAAAGAACTACATATTTTTAGAAATTGTTAGATTCTACTTTAGTCTTTTGTAGCCAGATACATCGTCAAGCAGAGCTACTTCAAAGACTGAGGAAGACTCTGAAGTTTGTGGTCAGCCAGGGTACAAATGGGGGGGGGTTGCAAATCTTGTTTACACTTCATTTACACTTCAATAACTTTTTAAGTATCTATGTACTATGTAATCAACACTCAGATATAAAATGCAGAAAACTTCCTGTGCACTTCCCCAGTCCATCAGTGCAAACCATTATTCTGTATTTGTCAACGTAGTTTCATTTCTAACTATAGAATCTTATGTCTTATTCTGAGGTAACATTTGGTCAAATTTCAACTAGTAACCACACTGCTCTGTATTTATATTATTTTTACCGACTTTACCTTTGACATTTTTATTAGAACTAATTTGCACCTCTTTATTATTAGAATCTAGTTTCCAGGATAATGGAAGGATAAATGGATTAGTTTTGTTTTCTCCTACACTAATGATTAAACTGCCACCCCAGTCATGGCTGTTTATGCCATCCTCCTTATCTGAGTATCATCTCTTCCCTGGAGAGGAATAACAGATAAAAATAATCAACTTATCATCTACAACCTCAAGTCACAATGTCCTTGGTTCATATAAACAACCTCAGTTTGAAGAGAGTCAACACTCCTCATATATCTCTCACTTCTAGACATGCATATAAACACATGCTGTAGTTATTAACTGCAAATTTATCTATTATGGAGGAAAGGAAAATACATCACAAGATAAAACAGACAAAAATAATTAAGTTTTAAAAGTTTGAAAATGATAGCTATGCACCAATGCCCAATATTTAAAACAAAGTAACTTCGAGTTGGGCATTTTTTCAATTTCCAATTTCAGAGTTATCTATCCAATTTTACGGTCCAGTAAGCTCAATATGAAATAAAAAGCTTAAAAAAATTAAATTATATACAAAAAACACGGAAGAGGAACAGGAACACGTTTTTCACAGCCCTTTCCAACTCAAGAGACTGAGCATACTGCAGGGTGGTACAAGTTCCAGACCTCAAGGACTTTAACATCTTGTAAAACAAACAAAAAAGGTATCATATCCTGGTTTCATTTCAAGTGCCTTAAAAAACAGAAAAGGAAAAATTCGAAGTACCATCTCAGTTGGGAGTTGGTTAACTTGAGAATTTAAGGGATTACACCTGCGAAATCATCTTGAAAGTGTTTAATCCAAAACATAATTCTAAACTCCTAATCCTAAGTAATAAGAACTATACGTAAGGAGTCTTATGGATTCAACAGCTGTAAATTTTTTCTAAATCTGACCATTTCTAGGCATCCACTGCCATCAAGTTACACTTAAATACCCATTTAAAATTAAAAAAAATAATCAGCTGAGGCTGGTGACACAGGTTTGTAATTCCAGATAACTCAAGAAGCTGAGGCTAGAGGGATCCCCAAGCTCGAAGCCAGTCTGGGCAACTTCATGAGCACCTATCTCAAAGAGTGCTGGGGGTACAGCCACCTCTTTTATGCCAGCACTCAAAAGACAGAAGGGCTCAAATCTCTTGAGTTGAGGCCAGCCTGGTCTACAAACCAACTTCCAGGCCAACTAGCTACATGAGACCATGCTTAAAAAAAAAAAGAAAGAAAATATACATACACACACACACATATATAAATATAATTAAAATAAGAGTTCTGGGAGTAATAGCTTAGAAGACAGTGTTTGAAAGAGGCTCTTCCTTCAGCCTCAGAGCAGTAGTAAATAAGAATTGCTTCACGGGTATGCTAGATACTAGTTCAAGCCAACTGTGAATAAAACCTCTACGTGGCTCCATTTCAACTGTCAAAACAGGTATCAGAAAGATTTCACTCTTCACCTAAAGAGAAAACATCCAGAATAATTTCCTGGGACTCTTCATCCTCATTGCTATTACTTTAACAGAACATGGTAAATATGTACTGCGTGTGTAGCAATGGAAAAACTGAGGAAGAGGCAGTATCCACACTCAAAGCCGTCCTATCAGTAAGACAAGACTTCCTAAACATAGTGAGATCGCCTTAAAAAATAGCCAAACTTCTTGGAACCATGAGTCAAGCAGAGCAAGCACTTCCAAAACATGCAAATTTAACACTGAAATGAATAAATTAATGCCTATAGCAAAACCGGAGAAAGAAAACAAATTAGAAACCTATAATCAAATTAAACTTTCTCAAGATCTTTTCAGAGACCAGATACAGCACTTTTATTTTAGGCAGAATGAGGTTGTTTCGAAAAGTGATTTCTCAAGGTTGTAAAGGCAAGTTCCAAACCGCAATTCTCTAGCAGGGTGATACGTAACACTAGAGTACTACACAAATTAACGGCAAGGAAATCTCTTCCTTCAAATGGAAACAGTTAAAGTAAAGTAACTCCTAACGCAATCCAAGACCTGAAATAATCAAACTTCAACTTTGCCAACCCAGAGCAAAAAGCCTAGTAACCGCGGCGGCGGCGGGCCCCAGAGGCAATTCACTCCACCGAGGCAACAGCTCCACCTACTGACCCACGACACTAGCTCAAACACTCTGGCACCCCAAAGTCTCCACAGCTCGAGTTCATCCCCCCTCCTCCACTCGCTCTGGCCCAACCCAAATCTAGTTGAGTCATTAGCTCTTAATACTCATTCCTATGCTCTTTATTCCAATTTCTTTTCCCTCCAGAAGGTTCTGCACGGCCCACAAGGAGGAATACAACCGAAACGGGTCAAAACCCGCAGTGCCCGTGTGGCTCCGGGGTGAGGACCCGACGGAGCACCCGAGGTGGTGGCCCGGGCGGCGCAGCCGTCCCCCTGGGGTACGCTCGTCCCCCGGGCTGAAATCCGGGGCTTCTCGCCCCTTCCGCCGCTGGCCAGTCGATCCGCCAACAGCCAGCTTCGCCTCCGCCCCCTCTGGGATCCGGGTGTCCGAGAAACCCGACAATGTCCCTCCGCGCGGGGTGGCCCGAGCCATTCCTCCCAGCACGCCCCCTCGACCCGGGCCCCTCTCCCTAGCAGACGGGCCTCCGCCCTTCCTCACCCTTTCATCTTCCCCGTCTGCTGAGGCCGTCGTTACCGCCGCCACCAACGCCGCCGTCCTCACCGCCCGGAGCTCTCCGCGCCCTCCGCTTAGGCCACTCGACCCCACACGCCGGTCTCCTGGCCGAGGGAAGGACGCTGAGGGGCTGATGCAGGCCGCGAAAGCTGAGCGCGGCCCTGAGAGTATGGAGGACGCCGAGTCGTCTTCGGCTGCCGCGCTGGTGCGGCCGCTTTTCCACACGTGCACTCGGGACACTCGTCTCCCGCCCGCAGCCGCCGCCAGCAAGACCCGCCGCCGCGCAGCGACCTTTCACCCCCGCCCCTCAGCGCGCCGGCGCGGCAGCGGCGTCCAGCGCAGGCGCACGACGGGCTGCCGCGCGCCCTTCCCCCTCCAGGCCGGGACTTCCCCCTTCCTCCTGGGCTGGGCCCCGTGTTGCCCCGCCCACGCCTTGAGGACTCTCCTCGTGGATCTGGCTCGCATGACTCCGCCGGTAAAATCCGGATCCTTCCACCCTTCCCACACCAGCCGGGTCAGGCATTCGGGGCTCGGCTCTTTCCTGGTCTCCAGCATGACCTTCAAACGCTCTTGTCTCCTAATAGAGTTTGACAAAATGGATTCTCCACCATGAAAGAAAGTCTGTGGAAACCTCGAGTAAATGTGACTTAAAAACAAAGGTAACTTGGCAACCCTCCACCACGCCGTCACTCCAGGCACAGCCCTCACGTCTCAACATCACGTGATTGGCTTAACCCTTCCAGCCGGAATTTTACCGGAGGGCCCTTGAGCGGCGGAACTCCAGCACCATTTCCGGTCCCTAGAGCGTGGCCTGAACGTCACTTCCTTAGCAATGCACTTTAACCGTTGCTGTCCTCGTTTTTCTGGACTGTAGTTTACGACCCACGTCTTGTGAAACAAAAATTAACTTTTTCGTTAGTAACAAAATAACATCAAAGCAATCCACAAAAATTCAACCAAGCAAGATGCAGCGCCCCCGGGTGGGGGAGGCGGGGGTGGAGCTTGAGGTCACGTGACTCGCTGGTCCGCCCCGCCTCCTGCAGATGAAGACTTCCCTCCCACAGTGATAGAGCCTCTGGGTCTCCTCTCGGTACGGATCTTGCACTTGGCGCCGAGGCAGGTGAACGGCGGCAGGTAACTGGAGGGACGGTGAGCAGGGACAGAAAATAGAAAATGGGTGCGAACCGGCCTGCGCTGTTCGGGGCTCCCTTCCCGTTGTCACCCTGCACTCGCGAGGGATTCATTTATTTCTCCAGATCTTCCGGACCCCACCCCCCAGCCCCGTCTCCTTGATCGCCCCACCACCGAGGAATTGTGCTGTCCACTTTTCCCAGGGTTGAACACGCCATTATGGACTCCTCTTTGGAGCTTTGGGGGCTTCAGGTCATGGGATTGCTTCAGCCATTGCTGGGGTCTGCACCAAGCGCCGGTCCCAGTCCCCAAAGCTCGTTCTTTGGCAAAGGCCTTCATCTAGGTGAGCAGGAAGATAGGAAAACCCCTAGAGGCAGAGGCGGCTCCGGTGAGACAGGCTTGGGAGGGAATGTCACGATACGGCCTTCTCTGCAGAGTCACTGGAAAGTGCTTTCTCAGTCATTAGAAAGGTTTATCTGACATTCTTGCTGGAGAGGTTCAGTGCGAGTTAGCTTCCTTCGGGTGAGACTGGAAGGGTTTTCAGGGCCGTTTGTACTGTCTTTAGAACAGGGTGTGGGTAATGCGGCAGCCTCAGTTGAATCGGAAGGCGATGGAAGATGGTGTTGCCTTGTTGCGGTCTGCTGGAGGCCTAGGCTTGCTTATGGGAAAGTGACTAGGTTTTCCCGAAAAGGAAGTCATTCTTCAGAAACTGATCAAGCTGAAAACATGATTAAACCAAATTTATTCGGCCACAATTTAAAAGCAGGAAGACTTTAAGTCTAGTTATTATTGTTGACTTCATGGTTTTTTGCCTTTGGCATTCTTCTCTTTTTGCCGCTTTTCCCTAAAATCTTGCTGAATTGCCCTTCGCAGTCAATGCCTTGATTAGTTTTGTGGTAAATTTAAGTAACACTTTGTTCTTCCTCAGCTTTTCTTTTGTAAAACTTAGGTGTCCTGCTCTGATTTGGATGCATAATATTTTGTGAAAATACAGAAATTTATTTGCCTAGAATTTTGTCCAACCCCTTGTACTCCATTTTAGATGTACTATAGTAGCCAATGTTTTAACCCCAAACAATACGCCTTAGGAAAGGAATGTTTTTTAAGTTTGGGGCTAAACTCTTTTATTTATGCTGCAAACTTAGAAGGTTCTTTCTTTCCATTAAATTAGAAAGCCTTACAAAATTACAAATTTGATTTTTATAATGTAAATTACACATTTTCTTATATGAAATATTCTCAGTTAAATCTTCCTTCTAAGCAGTGTAATTGATAAATCTATTTTAACAAGTCAGCTGAGGGCTAGTTGTTACCTTCTCTTCCCTCCACAAATGCTTGAAGCTCTGGGTTTAATCCCCAGTACCAGAAAGAAAAAAATTCAGAGGGAGATGGAATTATTCATTGTCCTTGTGATAGGTGAGACAGACTTTTGCCTGCTCTTCCAAATTCTCTGCAATAAGATGGTCTTATTTTATTAAAGAGAGCTAAAAACCTTAGAAAGACAGCAATTTAACAAAATAGAAAGACTAGTCGTCCATGATACTTACTACTAGAAAACATAACCTTGATGGTCTTGCATTGTCTTAAGTAATAAAGAAGATGGTATTTTGTGTGTGTGTGTGTGTGTGTGTGTGTGTGTGTGCATGTATTTACAGTTTTACCATTTCCTGCTTGAGATTCAGACTAGATGATATCACTGTCTATTGATATGTTTATGTAACGTGTAAATATAGCTTAATTGTCCTTTGCTTTTTGTTGCTGAACTGTATTCTGTGATATAATAATCACAGTTTGGTCAACCATTCACTTGTTGCCATCTTGTATGTTTTTGTGTGTGTAGGTGTACATGTATATGGGTGCCCATGCACATATGTGTGCATGCATGTGGAGGCCCAGAGATGTCTTCCTCTATTTCTTTCACCTTATTTTTGGTGGCAGGGTCCCACACTGAACCCATAGCTCTCTGATTCAACAAGACCAGCAAGCCAGCAAGTCCCAGGGGTCCTCCTGTCTCCAGCAGCCCCTGAGCACTGAGGTTGCAGATAGACCATCACACTGGTTTTTTTGGCTGCCAGGGAGCCAACCTTGGGTTCTCATGCTTTCAGAACAAGCACTTTCCTGGCTGAGCCATCTCCTCATCCCCAAACACAGTTTTATCCATTACTTTTCTCCAAAGAGAGGTTCTCTGATCTATTGAAGAGATAGAAAAGTGGTATTGCTTCTGTACTCAGGTGACATTCCAATTCCTGAGTGCTTTGGCAGTCTAAGCCAGTTCTGTCCAGGTACACCAACATGGGCAAGAGAAAACCAGCCAAAAACCATTGACTACTAGAGGGGAAAACTTAATAAGTAAGAAGTTGAATGAATCTGCAGTTTTACTTCATACTTAATTGCTCCAATTTTAGGGAAATAGGAAAGAACTGACTTAGACTAATAATGAAATCTAGAAGGTTAGCACAGAAAATGGTGACAAAATTCGATGTGGGGAAAAGCTTTGACATACATACACACAGGTACCCAAATGATTTGAAAGTTGAAAAACATTTCTGATACTGTTATCGGTTTGTGATTTATATATAGACATTTATTTGGGGAATTGTGTTGTAGTCCACCGTTAAGTAACGTATAAGGAATAGTCCCTTGACACCCTTTGTTTTCTTACTATAATGTTTTCTTTTCCTCTGTTTCTACTTATGGCATGTTTCTACTAGCTTGGCTCTTCTTGTGTTGAAGAACCATGTCTCCATTGTTGCGTGTTCTACACAAGGATGCCGAAATGGATGAGACCTTGTCTCAAACAAACAAAATGCTGAGGTGCCTGATAGGTTATTTATTGAATGAGATTTGAACAATTAACAAGGGGAACAAATAACATTTTTTCAGATCATAGTTCCTTCAAAGGTTATGTACTATTAACTTTTAAATATAAAGGCAGTAATACTAATTTTTCAAATAGTGAATAGAATAGACAAAATCAATATGGACTTTATTAATTCTATGACCAACTTATTTCTACAGGATGTATGTTTACTGATAAGAGGTTATCATCCAGGTGGGAGAGGGAAGAAATAGTTATACTAAATGAAAAAGGGGTTCTTCATGCTACAAGTGGATCTTCATTCAAGCTTCTATATCTTGATCACATGCCCTTAAAAGGAGGGGCTAAGAGTTTCAGGGGTCTGTACTTAGAAAGTTTCCTCCCAAGGGTATTGTAAATTTGAGTGGGATAACCCTAGATAATCTATTTTAAAGTATTTTTAAAACTAGGTGGTATGTAAGTGTAAAGCAATAAAATTCAAACTTTACCTGAATAGATTTCCCAATCACAGAGACCTGGGATTAGGTGCTAGCCTTCCCTGTTATTAGCTGTCTGACCTTGAGCATGTAAAGTGAAGTTTGCTCATGTTTAAATCTGGCCTGTAGATATTATTAAAGCAGATTTTTGAATGTACAGTATTTAGTACACACACTTTGTAAACATTTCTTTTAATAAGGCCAAGGCTAGCGTCAAACTTACTGACCCTCCTATCTTTACTTCCTAATTGCTTCCTAAGTATAGGCATGTGCCACCACACCAGCAAAAATTCTATGACTTTTACTGACTTGACTTTGCTCCTATATGCTGAATTTCTAGTACAGATGTAAGATATCTTACAAAATAGACCAATGCTCCCCCCCTTTGAACAACAGCAGGTTTTTGTTACAGTGAATGGAGTAGAATTTGAAATTAGTCTATTATGAAGAAAACAGAATAGGAAAAATCTATTTCTAGCAAAGATTCTTTTTTTTTTTAAAGGTTTATTTTTTGAGACCAATCATGCTGTTGCTCAGGATGCTTTTGAATTCCTGTCCTAAAGCTAGTCAGTCAGTCCCCTAAGTAGTTGGGACTAGAGGCACACATACTACTATATCTGACTCGCACAGATTCTAACCTTACTTATAGGAACAGAGAAATATCATCATAGTCCCTTATTTGGGCTCCAGTGAT